TAAAAAATGACAGGAAAAGGAAAAAATGACAATCTCGGCTTATATCTTCCTACTTTGGAACGCAATGGACATCGGCTACCACTCCCCCGGCGCACCAAGGGAGTTATAGCTCAGTGGTAGAGCGGCTGACTGCAGATCAGCAGGTCTCGAGTTCGATTCTCGATGGCTCCTCGGTACATTTTGGTCGGTTAAATATATTATGTTATGTTATATTGTGTTATGTAGTATGTTACTCCCTGATTATGTTACTCGAGAGCGTCGGGAATGGCAACAAGAAACGGTGATGGAACGAAGGCGAAGGGTCATCTATCATCACTCGCCGCATGCACGTCCCCTCGAGCGTCGAGGAGATTCACTTGCACCGGCGGTGGGTCCATCCGTCCACAAGCGCTGCCCCGCTGCCTGCTTGCTTGCGCCTGGCTGCACCGCCCCCTCCCCCTCTTTATCCGCCGGCCCGCTTTTTGCCTACTCACACAGACAACGCTCCTCGAGCGTCGAGGAGTGTGTGTCGAGGAGGTACTTGCCTGTCTCGATTCAACCCCTCCACGGTTTTGCGTTGTCTTCTCCAGTGCTGTCAGTCACACACTTTCCATGTATTACAACGGGAAGGTTGGTGTAAACAACGGGTCCTGGATGTATAGGTCCGTGCTTGGCACAAGGGGTTTGAGTTGCTGGGAGCATGATGAGCAGCACCAACATGCAGCGAAGCGGCGTGCGGCTGCCGAGAATGATGCTGGTTCGCTCGCTGACTGCAGGTTGACTTGCTTGAACTACCGGTAGTGCGACACTCAGCGCCAGGGGGGGGGGCACTCCCAGTGACCGGGCGAGAGGCTGGTCGCAACTGTCAACAAACTATTATATCATACATTTATAATTAACACGGGCAGCTAGACGCCGCCCGCAGGCCTCCTGCGCAAATTACACTTCTGCTCAACAGCGGCACACCGATCTCCTCGTGGACGTCGCCGCACGCGGCCCTGCATGATTATAGAGGTTTATAAATTCCTATAAGAGACAGTTGTTGCGGCCGCTGCGTCAAGAGTGCCTTGCTGTGGCCGATGGTGCGCCGCAAGCATGTCTGCAGCACTCTGAATGTTGATTGGCTGAAAAGCGGAGGGAGGCGGAGGGGCAGATATGTGAAAAATGATCTATGTGATTATAACATTTATCTACTGCGATGCTAGTTTGCTCCCGTTTGCACCAGGCGAGCACAACCAGTGGGCTCCCATGCATCGCGCGCATCGACAGGGTCACCCACGAATTCAAATTGTGGCATGCACGGAGAGCCCCTGACCTAGCGTAGCGGGAAATATATACATTCATATATGCTGAGCAGCGACAGCGATTTTGGACAGCAGCACTGCAGTGGCTGCGGGGCAATGCCCACGCTCATGGGTGGGGCACCTGTGCATTGCGGATTGGGGTGTTTTAACCCACGAATTCAAATTTTGGCATGCACGGAGAGCCCCTGCCCCGGCGCGGCAGGCAATATACACACTCATATATGGTGAGCAGCGACAGCGATTTTGGGACGGGGGCGTGCTTGCACGGCGCCGCCAGGTCAGGGATAAGCAGCGTGCGGCGGTGCTGCAGGTGTAGCAACAAGGGGGGATGCCAAAAATCGATGGCGTAGTCCAGCGCACCTGGCGTCAAGTCACCTAATAATCATAACAATACTATAATCACCGTTCGCGCGGCCAACCAGCGCTAGGGGACGCCCCGCGAGCACCGAATCAAGCAATGCGAGGGACTTTGGGGGTGATGCGTGACGAATACTAATAAGAAGCATATATCAAAGCCTCCTGCTCAAGCTTACGCCGTGGTGTTGTCGCCCACCTTCAGCCAACAAAATTGGCAGCTGCGCACTTGACTGTTTGGCGATTTGGCGCCCTGTGTGGCTCGAGCCATACCAATAACTTGGATAAGTATTAGTATATCATCTGGTACAAGTTGCGACCAGCTTCTCGCCCGGTCACTGGGAGTGCCCCCCCCCCTGCTCAGCGCCGCCGTTTTGTGCAACCCGGAGCAGGCTGCGGGTTGATCTAAAGAATACACAAACAAACGCTGACTGATAGCTCGACATACTATACAATCATTTATACTTGTGTCGCCTGTCGCGGCTGCAGCACCGCTGCTCGTGCTGCCAAGGTACTGCCAAGGTGCTTTCCCCCTGCCAAACCAGCTCCTTCCTGGGGCGCTACCGTATGCACGCAGCATCCCGCTGACTCTGAATCAATGGCGCTGGCCGCTAGTCCGACAATCACCGCGTGTGGCCGATCATCCAGCAGCAGCGGACAACAACTGGGCGAGGCTGCTCACCACGATGATCGCTCAACAGGCACGTACAATAGAATGAGAATGTCGAGTTTGCAACGCGGTGCTGTTTTGAACAGCAGCTCTGTTGCAGAACTCAGCGAGCGCGTTGTTGGCGCGCCGTTGCCGCATCAACAACAGGCGCTGGGACCTGGGTACGACCTCACGGCCTGCTCTTGTGTTGGTCTTGCGGGTTGTGACGCGCATGTCGCGCGTCACAGCTGCGGCGGCAGCCTGCGCCCCGCAGCGGCGACTGCCAATGACTATTGCGACCTCCTCTGCGCCAATCATGCAGGCCAAAAGCAGGATCTGACTGCAGTTCTGTGTTGGCATGTCGACCCACGTGATGCATGCTTACATACAAGGTGAGCGGCGCGCGCACGATGGCGAGGAGCGGGATCCGAGAGGCGCTGGGTGCAGAACGCACAGGCACAGGGCAGCTGTGAGGCGAGGGGCGCCAGCCTGTGGATAACGTGTGTCAGATCAAAGCACAGCCACGGCATGATGCACACTGTGACGGAGGCTTGGCAGGCTGCATTGTGCCCGCGCATACCCTTGCAAACACACCCTCAGCCGCAACTGCTGTCAAACGTCGCGCTTTTGCGTGCCCCCCGTCACATGTGCTAGGGCTGAGATGCTGGGCGCATCATGGAGCCGTGGGCTGCTTTGACGCACTCACCAGCAAAGGTGGGCAGCACAGCGCGCGCGCGCATCTGCGAGGAGGATGATCAGGGATGGCTGTGGGCAGAACGCGCACTCGCAGGGCAGCTGTGTGTGGCAGCACCAACCGCTCAGCGGCAGCCTTTGGGTTACATGTGTCAGAGCAACGCACAGCCGCGGCGTGATGCGCTGTGGAATGGAGATGAGGCAGCACCAGTGATGCACGCGCCCGCCTGGCGCGCGCATGCAGCTTCACAGGTGCGGCATTCAGCCACAACTGCCATCAACCGAGTGCTGATGTGTGTCCCAGTCACGCGCGCCAGAGCTAAATGTTGAGCACATCAAGCACCGTCGGGCGGCTGTGACGCACGCGCCAGTACGGTGAGCAGTACGTCGTGTCGCTTGCGCACGGATTGGCGAGGAGCAGGATTCGGGAGGGCTGGGTGCAGAACGCAGAGGCGAAGCACAGCTGCGCGCGGTAGCGCCAACCGCTCAGCGGCAGCCTACGGGCTATGTGCCAAAGCAACGCACAGCCGGGGCATCATGTGCAAGTGGACAAAGATGTTGGCAGCAGGCTGCTTTGCTTGTGCGCAAGTATCATTTCGCAAAAGAAACAATTGCACGCGCCACCGTCCAACTGCATCCCCATTCACGCCTGCTGCGTACTTTCTTCAATCCACCTTGGCAGACAACGACTGCTTGTGGGGTTTTACCAAGCTGCGGGCCGACGGAGCACGTATCGGTTCAGGTGAGCGCTGCTGCCTGTGTGTGTTGGAGCAGGATTATTTTGGTGGCCAGTTATGCGTTGTTGACGCCTGTACGTGGGAAGCATAGCGGCACGCTGCGGCACCAACTGTCAAAATGCAGCCTGGGGACTCTGAACGGCATTTCTGCGCGTAGCAGCAGCACCATATGTGGGATAGAGGCCTGGCAGCGGCGTACTGCGTAACTGCACGTCATTGTGCGCAGTAAGCACTCGCACACACATCATCTTTATCAGCAACTGCCAAAAAGCTCAGTGCTGGTTCTTCCCCCGCGCAATTTGACACAGGGCGGCAACACAATTGTGGCGGGCCCTGCACCTTGGGGAGCGCAGCGATTGTACCCACTGCGTCAACCCTTTGATGTCTCCCATGCAAGGATAGCAGCAGCAGCAGCAGCAGCAGAGGAAGCTGTGCTGCAACCGTTGATGCAGAGTTGGCAAGCGGCTGTTCAAGTCGCAGGCGTGATATGAACAAAGGGTGGCAGCCAGTGATTTTGCTGAGCTAGCTAGCGGCAAGTACTGGCGTGCCGGTGTTGTGTACCTCCATCCTTCACACATTTGTTTGAGGGATTTCATGGTGGCCGTTGGCATGGTCTTTAACGTGCATAGGGCTGCACACATGCTCGCAACACGCAAGGTGTTTACTTGTGCAGAACACTTGCTTGTTTCGCCCCCTTCCACCACACTATGCGCATATAGCAACTTGCTGCACATTAAGCCACAGCCGCAAGTGGGTTTGCAACAAATCTCAGGTGCACCATGACAGTGTCTCATTTTCTATTGGACTGCCCCAAGTACGAATCAGTGCGTGGAGAGCTGTGGCGGCGACTGGAGGACGAGATCGCGCCTGATTGCTGGCATATGAGGCAGCAAATGCAGAATGAAGAGAAAGCTTACAAGTTGCTTGATTTTGATTTTCTTGGTGGCTCTGTGCTTGCTGATATTGTTGCCCCTTATGTGTATGCTTGCTGGCAGATCCGTTGGAAGGTCAGGAATGAGGAGGTCTGCTCTGATGAGCGCGAGGCCGATGGCAGTGATGCTATGGTATGAGTAACTTATCTATCTATCATGACAGGGTGGCATCTATCACTAGGCTTGGCACCAGCAGCATACAACAGGATGTTTTTTTGAGACGCGAGGGACCTGCTGCCGACCCGCCGCCGCTAGCTGCTGCCGCCCTGCTGCATCGTGACACTCAGCACACTTGCAACCAGCGTGCTGAGGCTCCCAGCATCGAGGCCGCCAAAACCCGGCCCCGGGTGCGCCATGCCGACCGTTGTGGGGATGAGCGATTATTGGCGCCCCTCACTTGCTAGACAGGGCGGCCGCAGCAGCGCTGCCGTTGTTCAAAGCAGGCTTGGGCATTTCTGTTTCCTATCAAAATATAACCATCCACATCACTGAGTTCTCAGACCAACTGACCAGCGTCTCGCCGTCAGTTAGTTGCCGGCTCGCGGCGCCAAAGATTGATGACAACGGAACCTTGGACGGGCGCCTGCCTGCCTTCCTACACTCTGCCGATCCGGTATGCACGAAGATTCGATTAGCCACCTCAGATTTGTTTTGCCCACGCACGGGCGATAACGGGCCCTGCCGTCGTCGTTCGTCCATCCATCCCCGAGACTCAGAGACGTGCACCCTTGCCGTCGACCAACTGCCTCGTTACGCCCCGATCGGGTCTCATAGAACTGAAACTCTCAGCGGACTGCTTTCACCCATAATCTACCCGCCGGCGAGCATGGGTCGCCACGTCTCACAGGCGCAGCGGGACGCGGACAAGGAGGCGAAACGCAGGCGGGACACGGGCAGGGCGAGGGCCCTGGAAGCATTGAATGACCTTTTGGCTCAGCATCCGGATCGGGAATGCATGCTGCTCGTCCGGTTGAGCGGCAGCTCAGCGTCAGCCGTGCGCAGGCTGCTCGAATTGGTGCAGCAGCACGTTGTGGGGGGCGTCGCGACAGGGGTTATAGAGGACGGAGGGCCGACCCGCAGCTGCACCTACGCAGCATGGGTGGTCATCTGGCAGGGGCAGCAGTCCGCCGTGCCCTCGGAGCGCGGCAGGACAGCAGCCGGGACCCTGCACCCTTTCCACATAGCGTGGCAGGACGACCTCCACCTGGAAGCCGAGCGTATGTGCAGGCTGGGGCACGAGCCAGGGCGCCGGATCGTCCTGGCCGATTGGTCACCTCACGTGAGTGGGTCTGTGTGTGCATGTGTATATGTGGCGCTCGGCGCATTCATTCATATGCGGGGAATCTAAATCATATGTTTGCCTGTGTGTCGTGGTTTGCTTCGATGACAGAGCACTTTGCACAAGATCGGTATGACCACCGATCACTTCGTGCGTGTGAACCACCGTGAAGTGATGATTCCTGCCAGTCGCATTCACACGCCGCTTTTGATGCACGCACCTGTCCCACCACCGTGGCGACACCGCGCGCATGCCGCAGGCGCACGCCATCGCCTGGGCGCTGCGCTGCGACGAGGGCGTCGCCGGCAAGAGGGCGCGGGTCGACGCGGCCGCGCGCCTGCTGGTCGCAGACGACCCCGGCTGCGCCGCCTCCGCAGCGGCAGTCCTGCGCGG